CAGGGTGGCGGCCGGCCACCTACTGCAGGCTCAGGCTCCCCACCCTGCTGCCCTCCCCTGGGGCCTCCGCAGCCCAGTGGGTGCAACCCAGCACTACAGGGCAGAGTGGGGCCACACAGGGAGCTCCTTGCTGTTGCGAGCTCTGCAGTACTGTGGCAAGGCATCTGGCAGCAGCGAGAGGCACAGCTCCATGCTGCTGCTACCACACAGGCAGGGGACACTTCGCCACGGCCAGAGCTGTGATGCAGCTGCCAGCCAGGCTCCACCTGGCAGGATTGCCACTGCTGCAGCCCCAGGAGGCCCTCAAGTAAGGCTGCTGGTGCTGGCCCCAGCCTCCCCTACCCACTCGAGGTAACTTGCTGCATACCAGAGCACGTGTGGCCCAGGCTTTCCCTGGGGACAACTAGCACAAGGTACACCGCCCCTAGTTGTCCCCAGGGAACCAAACATCCACAGACGTGTAGACACAGTTTATAAGTGCCAATAACAGATTGTCTTCTGTTCTGTTTTTTTCTCTGAGTAGCCAAGTAGATTTTCATATTTATTCCTTTTGACCGGACCCTCCGTTCCTCTTTTCCATCAATGTTACAGAAGATATTGAATGCTTCCCCTTATTTTGAACCAGTATTAATTTTAATATTCTAAATTCCAATAGCCATAAACATCATAGCTAGAGTGGAGGAGGCTAGAGAGGCTCCCACGGGCAACAAAGTCTTGACGACTGGCTCACTGCAAGGGGCACAGCTGCACTATTGCTCCAAGGCAAGGCAAAACTGTTCTGCTCTGTTCTGTCTGTCCATCCATCACTATTTGCACATAGCCTCCTTTTCATGACAGATCTTCAAATCAAGCTCATAGTTACTTAGATTTTTTAACGGACAGCAATTTTATAAATGTATATATTTTTACAGACTTAATGGAAAAATGTTTTAGCCCTTTTATTTTTTTTTTTTTATACAGGCTATCCATATATTTATGGACAGTTGGCAACCCTGTACTAAGTGAAGTCCAGATTGCACAGAAAGGGGACAGGTTGTGGAATAGACATAGAGAAAAACTGTCTTAAAAAGCATCTGACAATGCAAGTTAAAAGGAGACTCTTTCAACTGATAATCTACATGTATTTCACTTGTGAAGACTCTATAATCATTACCAGGGATAGGGAAACACAGACAAGTTTAAAATGAAAGCTCAACTGTATCTTAGAAAGCAGACTTGCATGTTGTGAAATCACATCTATAAGGAAAGCTGAAAGACTGAAAACACCAAATCACTGGATTTCTCCTTCTGTGTCAACAGCCACTCAACACAAACGTTTTCATTGATAAGAATCTGAGAGTACTGGGCTTGAAGCACAGAAGATGGATTTTTCAGACACATTGTCCAAATCCAGATGCAGATCTCTTAGGCTAGGAACAGACATTGCATTTGTCCATGGACAAGCTGTGCCCATGTTTCTCCTACACCAGGAATATCTTGGAATTAGCACATACACATCACCCTTCCAGTCAGGGTTTAGTGAACTGCTGAGTGCACTGCCATTTTTCTTCCATTGATTCGATGCCATTCCAGCATAATTCTGCAGACACACTTTGCCATGTCGTTGGATAAACTGTTAGTATTTCTTATCCCACAAACCATTTTAGTGTATGTCCAATGTCCTGGGATAAAATAGTTGATCCTAAGATAAATATTTCTCCTGTTTGTAGATTTATTGCAAATAGTAAAGAATGTGAACATATTTAATATTTTCATTCTTAGGATAGTGAGCTGCTAGTTGCTAGATGAACATTTATTAGATGGCTTTTGAAGGCTGCAATGAGGCACAGAGCAGGCAGAGCCCAGCTCACCTCACAGCTGCAGCCTGCCCTTGCCTCATGCAAGGATCGGGGGGCGGGAAATGTGTCCTCCTTGGCTCCCCAGCATCACTACTCTGCAGGAGCCACTGGACTCCTCTTGTCACACAACCCAACCTGGCCCCGCCATTCACCATGAATCTCCCTGCTTGCAGGCATGTGCCATGGGAATCTCCTTGAAGAGGATTCTCACAAAGTATGTCTAGCTCACTGTCATGCCTCGATTCAGGGCATGTCTGCAAGGGGGGGTGTCTACCTGCTGGGGGTTGCTCAACTGACAGGTGGTTGCCCCGAGTCAGGACACAGCAGCGAGATGCACAAGCCTCAGGAATCCCCTGCAGGGGCATTTCTAGGACGAAGGTCTGCAAGCAGGCCACAGCAGTTTGCTTGTAGGGGGATTCCTGTGGTGTGCAATAAGTCAGGGACGGGCAATTATTTTGGGCGGAGGGCCACTTACTAAGTTTTGGCAAGCTATCAAAGGCTGCATGACAGGCAGCCAGGGGCAGATAAATATTAAATTTTCTAAATTTTTAGGGGCCCCGCAGGCTAGATAAAATGGCCTGGCAGGCTGCATGCAGTCTGCAAGCCACATTTTGCCCATCCCTGCAATAAGCAAACAGAACAACCATGACTACCTTGGATCACAGAACCATTCTTGGACGCTTGGAGCGTAATGTGGTGCCAGGACATGCATTCCAACTTACGGCAGCTTCCGGTTGCATCCATACATACCCCAAATCTGATATCCCCCACCCCCCCGTTCGATTCATTGCATCTACCCCAAGAAATGGGAGACTTTTACTAAATTGTGCAGCATTAAGAGAAAACTACAACATGCCAGGAGATATCCCCCAATCTGGTTACCTGTGACCTAATTAGATCTGTAACTCACAGGCAAAGTTTCTTGTATTCCTTTACAAGATAGCATAAGGCCCAAACTAAGCATTTACTTCAGGAGTGAACTCAAGGAGAGTTTGCCAAAGAGGCAGCCAAAGGAAGAGGTGCATCCCTGTTAAACAATAGCCTAATAACTAAAGCATTCATACAGAAAGACATCCCAGTTTAATATACTTTTTGGCCTGGAGGTAGGGTTCAAACATGCTTTTTCAAACTCTCAGCAATGTATTCTACTTACAGGCTAGGTCAGGTGGTAGTATATTGAGTCCACACCTTCTCATTGAAGCTATGCCTCTATGCAGATGAGATTGATGAGGCTGCAAACAACAAGACTATGATCCAGTGATTTAAATAGTCAATCAATTGGCAATGGCTAGAAAATGGTATTTAGAGGTTTGCTTTTGGAAATTGGCTTGTAGGTAAAAGTAGATATGCATTAGAACAATGGTTCAGGGCAATGACAAGGGTTAATTGATTTCTAAAAGCCTGTTTGTGACAAAGTTCTTTCAAGGCCCACTGTGCGACACAGGCAAGCAGCAAGCAGACATACGGGCTGGGAAACTGAAGAGATATACCACAGTGTTCCATAATAGCCGTAAGGGACTCTGCCACATTGGCCAGGTCACAGTGCCCAACTGCAGGGCCCTTAAGATTTCTAGTTTTGGTAGATGGGCCAGATAAGGAGAAACTGGTAAAGCCCAAATTAGGATGTGTGCATGTGATGGGTTTGTGAAACAAAGAAATATGCTGACAGGACAAAATGTGAACAGTCTGACAACCACAGACACACCAATCGGTGATGCCTAGGAGATGGAGTCAAAAGAGAGAAACAATACAAAAGGAAGGATTTCATAGCAACAAAGGGTCCCCCATGAAGGGAACCCGAGGCCACCATGGACAGAGAGCACACGGCCAGCTTGTCTCATTCTCTCACCCCAGTAGTGGTTAGCCTTCAACCTCCAGGCTGCTAACATCTGACATTCAAGAGGGAACCTCAGAGTGAAGCTCATGTACTGGCCAGATGCATCTCGACTCCGTGAATCCTGGGACTGGCAGACAGAGTTGTTTGCATTATTCTTATCTGCTATCACTGTCTGTCAATAGAATTAGGAGGCGTGGTTGGTCTTAAGATTTTGGGTCTGCCTGGAACAAGGTATCTGGGTCATAAATCTAGTGCCAACAGTTGGGAGAAAGTACTCCTAGATTCCAATCCCTGCTCTCAGTGCCATTTATGCTGTTTAGCCAATATGTGTAATATCTAACAGTCCTGGGATCAGGGACTCCCCTCGCCACTGCACTGGAGCATCAGTCTGTCAGACTTTTTTTCTGGGCCTATGAATCTTGTACTCAAGGATGCAGCATTACAGGGCCCCTCAACACACTGCATTTATAGTGCAATTAAGGCGTTAAGAGGCCAGAGTGCCATCAAGTAGAATATTTTTATGGCTTGTTTGTATGGCATCTTCAGCTGAAGGTGTGGCATGTCTGTGGATTACCTTGGGATCCTGAATCACCTCTGGTGTGGCCTTGAGGATGAAAAATGAGCTGCAGATACCCAGCTTTCAAATGGCCAGTGCAGCGGGAGCCTGGGATCATGATCTTGACTTTCCACTGCATAGTCAAGTGTAAAGTGCCTGACAGGGATCTGATCTCGGTTCCCAAGAAACACATGTCCTGCCATGAACACGTGACACAGCAGAAGGCACAAGTGTTGGGATCAGATCCCACGACACCTTTAAATTAACATGTGCCAGGGGACTGATTCAATAGGAAAGGTAGAGAGTGCCTCTTAGCCTGGTGGTTGGGTTATTCTCCTGGGAAATGGAAGATGTAGATTTGACATTAAGTCTACATCTTTCTCTGTGAGCAAATGCTTAGGCAAGAATAGGGCATTCTTTAGCTTAGGAAAAGGAAAAGTTCATGCAAAATACTTGTTGATCATTGTACTGTTAGTATTTTTTCCTACTTGTGGTCGATTTAAGACTTCACACTGATTCATTTTCAAATATTTAATTAAAATATAGCAAAAGCTTACAGCTCAAGTTATTTAAGCCTTATATTGCCTTTTTTATAGTTTCATATAAGAAGTTTTATAGAATGAGATCTTTACACACATTCCCTTTAAAATCTTCCATCCAATAAAGAGAGACTCCTTTATGTTCTTCCCCACTCCAAGTCTTATGTTTAAAAATTGAAGGGGTATAAGACTGGAGAGTTTAACATTTGTGCACGATGACTGATGTATTCTGAGAAAGAAACCATGTACTCTGAGAGGTGGGAAAATAGACAAGCCAAATAAGATTTCCCCACCCTCACCTGTTTGTACTGAAGTTGACCAGAAAGACCTCTTTAAAAAAATCAATGCCTGAAACATCTTGTCCTAAAAATGCTAGTTAGGTGGTCTTTTTTTGTTGATGTGGACCACACTAGAAACTGTCCAGTCATCAAGTGTGCAACTTGATTTTGCATCTGTTCTTTGTTTTAGGAGTCACATGTGAAACAAGACACACAGAATACCTGGATAGTTAAGTAGCTGACACACCAAGACCAAGCCAATTTTGGATCAAAACAGGCTATGTTTATTTCATGTACTACAGCTGTCACCTTTTTAAACCACCTGTTCTTCTGCAGGGCCATAAATTCCACCTTACACTGTTAAGCAGAACAACAAAACAAAGTACTTAAACAGTTTAGGCTGACTTGACACCACCCTGTTCCACACAGTGAAGAGGTAGCTGACCAGGGACTCTTTGAAGTACATAATTATCCACAGCCTTAGATGTGCCAGGGTATAACCTAGTATACATGGTTAGTTTAAAATCCAGCACTTGATTTTTATTTTAAAATAAAGTCTTTGTTAAGCTGTTTTGTAAGTGTTCATATTTGACCCAACGTACAAATTCCATTTTTCACCACTTTATAGCGTGATTGCTTGAATCTTCACTGTAACATCTAAGTTTCCTGGCAAGTATACATATTTAACTTCTATTACCTGCAACAGAGAAGCTGCAATGAGCACTTGCATTCACTGTTCACCACAGAACACATTTAACTTTACAACTCAGTATTCTATGCCATTACTGAATTCCGACGAGTTGAGTTGCCATTTCACCTCAAACACAGAAGGCAGTCAATATAAAACCTCCAAGGTCTTGTTTTGGCTAAATTCAAGACAAAGTTCCATACAACTATCAACTGAAAACCCACACTCACCTTCCTTAAAAGGAGTTTTGGGAGCAATATTTTCCTTGCTATCATGCTGGAAAGCTTTAGAAGGATCAAAACGCTTGATGCCCTGTATTGCATGTAGGTGGTCTTGAAGATCTTTGTGAGCTTGTTTTTCCTTAGCTACTTGTGTACGCAAGTTTGAAACCTCCTGAAATAGCAAACATGAATACTTTAAAAGGTTTAGAAATGCATGCATAGACATATCCAAGTTTGTAATAGTAGGAAAAGGTTAGGATGCTACAGAACACTAAACTTTATGGCACCTGGAAGCTTTAAGGAATTATTTACATCCAACAAGGGCATAGCAGCTTAACATACCATAGTTTTTCTTGCCAAAATAAAATTTTTGGGGAGGTCCTAGTATTTTACAACACTTGCTAAGTAAATGCAATTATTCTACAAGAGTCTTGTGTAGGGACACATTTATACTAGAGGCCAAGTTGAAATATTTTTATTAAAGGTCCATTAACTCAAAGTAGAGAAATCTCTGGATTAAAGGAATTTATTCCAACTATAGTAAAGCCCTCTCAAGTGGAACTTAACTTTGTGTTAACAAACTGATATGGAAGTTTTAGGATGCTGAAGTCTACAACAGAAGTGATATACTGGTTTGGGGGAATCAATGTTACGCTTACGGGGCACTTATCAAACTTATGAAAGCTGACAAACCTGTTTAAGTTGGATATTTTCATTTTTTAATTTCATAACATGCTTGATTTTTTGCTTTTGATTCTGATGGCCCAGTAGTTTAGCATATGAATCACTTAGTTTGTTTAGTTCTTCTTGGGCTGCACCATGTTCATTCAGGAGGGCATTCTTCTCTGCCTCAAATGCATCTAGCTGTTGCTGAAATAAAGTTGGAGTGAAAGATCTTACAGTAAGTGAACTCAACATATTGCTGCTTCAGTTTTAGTTAGAAAACAGTTAGCCTTTCCTCTTAAACTGCAGCTTAGTTAAGAAGCCCATGATTAGGTAAGGGATACTTAGCTGCTTAAACTGTAACATAAGTATTTAGTTGGGAAAGTACAGGTTTTCCCTCAATTTATGCAGTACGTGTTCCTGGAAAACTGTGCATAAATCAAATTTGCATAACCCAGGGAACCCAGTTTATAATGTAGGAAATAGGGATACGTTCCCATTATGGTGAGGGAAGGAATAAGGGTGGGACTGGGGAAGGGGCAGGCAGAGGGGTGCGGCGCAGCCTGTCGACCACTCCCAGGGCTGCAGCAGGGAGCAAAGCAGAGGGAACTTTAAGTGGGTGCGGCTGTTACTGCTACATGCACCCCAGGAGGGCTGCGGGCTCGGGAGCTGCGCCAGGCTCTTCCCAGGGGGCATCTGTCCCCAGATGTGCACACAGGACTAGGAACAGGCTGCTGCTGCAGGTGGGGGCCAGCAGCAGCACCGGACTCTTCTCAGTGTTTGGGGCGGGCAGCGGCACTGGGAGGGGGGCTGCTGCTACCCCACAATTCACTGTAGCCCACTCCACCTGCCCTTCCAGTGCTGCTGCAGAGCACTGGGAAGAGTGCAGTGCTGCCAACCCCAGCCTGCAGCAGATCTGAGGGCACACACCCCTGGGAAGAGCCTGGCGCAGCCCCCCAGCCTGCAACCCTCTGGGGGTGTATGTAGCAGTAAGAGCTGCACTCCCTTCCCTGTCCCACACCCACTTACAGTTCCCTCCACTTTGCTCTCTGCTGTAATCCAGGGCCTCCGCTTCTCCCCACTCACTCCAGCCCCTGCTGCACCAGCCCCAGGAGCAGCCAATGCCAGCTACCTGCAGACATTGGGCTGCACCATGCCGAATCCCCTGGGGCCCTACTTAGTTTCATAGTTTCTAGGGTCGGAAGGGACCTGAGCAGATCATCTAGTCCGACCCCCTTCCATGGCAGGAAGAGCACTGGGGTCAAATGACCCCAGTAAGGTGGTCATCCAACCTCCTCTTAAAAACCCCCAGGGTGGGAGCCTGCACCACCTCACTTGGAAGCTGGTTCCACTTGTCCCCACTTGCCCCAGCTCCTGCTGCAGCAAACCCGGGAGCAGCTGACACCACCTGCCTGCACTACGATATGGAACAGCCTAGGAGCTGGGTTGAGTGTGGACAATTGGGACCCCAGGGGGGTTCAGGACATGGTGCAGTCCAGCACCTGCAAGCAGCTGGCATCAGCTACTCCCAGAGCAGCTGCAGGAGAAGCTGGGCGAGTGGGGCCCTGGCCCCAGGGCCCTTTCCCTTCCACCCACAGACTTACCTGCTTGGGGGGGGGCACCTATGCTGATCGCATAAGTGTGTATTTACCTCGCATATAACACATTTTGAGTATAAAAAGAGTCATTTCATAAGAGCAAATTTGCATATACAGAACCCTCATAAAATCAAGTACACTTGTATTATGCCAGTTGAAAGTGACCTAGAATCTTAACAGTTGACTTACACAATGATGCAAGACCTCCAAGTTTCAAATACTGTTTTGAACCAAACCAAGGAAGGGACTAACCTGAAAAGGTTTGGTTTTGTTATGCAAGTCTTCATAGAGAGTACGCCAGGTTTGTATCTCTTCTTTCAAGCCAGCTGCCACATTTTCATCTGTAGTTTTCCTGAATAAAGATACACAAGGGAATTGTATTTTTGCAGTTAACAGAATGCTGGCTGAGCTCCCCTATAATGAATCTAGTTTTAGGTGTATTACCATAAACTTATTCGAAACAGGATTTACCTTGATCTCTCCGCTTCAAGCTGTTTCTTTAACTCTTCAGTTTGTTCTTCCATTTTCTCCTGAAGGTTAATCATCTGTGCATTGTACAAATCATTAGCTTTTTTTATTTCTGTTTCTTTTAAGGCCAACTTTGTCTGAGCATCCAGAAGCATTCTGGGAAGGAGAAAATGATAATGAACTACTGTCAGATTGTCTTGCTGTCTCCTGCCTTGACAACATTTGCTAAAAGAGCTGTCTGAATGTTAACACTAGCAGCACTGTCCGAGTAAGCAGAGTACATGAGAGTTCAGGGATACAGTTAGTTCACTCTACACTCTTTATTGCAGTAATTCAGGCAGTACCTCTTTAAGGAGAGAACAAGCAATATAATTCCAGAATCTTTTAAAGTAAAGTTTACAGGAAGGAATGTTCAGCTCAGTTAGCTTTTAACTGAAGATAGTGCTTTCTGTCTAGTAGTTGTCCGACATTTTAATCAGCTATTAGAACCAGAAATTGCTACCTACTCTGTGGGCCTCAACAAATAGCTAGTCAACTTGGACAGAAAAAGTGTAATTGAGTTATTTATACAAGACAATACTAACATTTTGTTCTTAAAAATCCTTAAATAAAGGCAGCAGGAATTGCTTTAACTTCCATGAAATGCTGAAGTTGACACCCAAATTCACACTAGTTTGTTATATTTTAACATGAACTCAGTGTCCATTCTGGCCACTCTGGGATCCGTGCTTCACACAACTGCTGCTCTAGCTAGCCCAGGACCCACACTGCGCATGATGCCCACAAGCCCCATGCACCCAGGGTCTCAGACTGTAGACGCATGCAGTGCAATCCCGAACCAACTAGGGGATGCCACATGCAGCACAGATCAAGGAGTGTAGGGTGAAGGCACCTGGGCCCAATTCGGCCTATGGGCTGGCCCTGCACCGCTCAGTTTGACACCCCTAGCTTAAATGTAGCCTGATCTCAAGTCTTAAACACCGTGAGGCTTAAGTTAGTGTTGATTTACCTACTGTATTTTAAAGCCCGATATTAGGTTCTATTGCAGTATGCCATAAAGGCCCAGCTTCAAGACTAGATTTAAATTAATGAAAAAGGTTTGATCCACATAAAGTAACTTGAAGTCTGAGGAATGAACTTCAAATTGCAGAAGTTGGATTAATAAAATCATGCTGCTATTTTGAAAAGTTCTAAGAGGTGACAGCAGGGTTACTAGTGCCCAGTTCTGCATAGCCAGTAGAAAGAAAAGTAGATTTCACCTGCCCTCTATTTCCGTGTTCAGCTTAAGACCCCATGGGAATTCAGCATGCAAAAACACCCCACCTAGTGCATGCATGAACACACACACATGGCTCTCACAACAGTGGAGATACACAGTGAGCTCTTGATGCAGACCACACCCCAAATCCAGGATGCTCCAGAGGCCCCAGGAGAGTCGAGAACTAGGTAGCAATTTATCTCAACAGATGATGTGGAAGTTCCTAGCAATGACAGAAGCCTTCTGCTAATTTCTGCCAAAAATAATGTGGGGTGGTTATTTATATTTCTGGACCAAACTTCAAGGTTGTTTTCCATTCTCTTGGCCAGTGACCCAGATGTAGTCTGCAACACTGTCCAGGTTGTGTCTGTTGGAAGCTACGTCTACAGCAGGTGGATTCAATATGTCCTTTAAGAGTTGTGGTACTTTAATGATCTATTTGATGGTTGTATTCTAATACTGGCTGTTAAGACGTACATAGTTATCACATCTGTTTGGTTCAGTAGGTCACTGATACATTTAATTGTACAATTAAGTTGTGTGGGAGTCTAGCTGTGGCCAGAGTTTTAACTAACCTGGGGCAAACCGCTTGTTGCTTGTTTGTGAGGTGGCAGTTAAATGCTTGTGATGCCTCAGAAGAAAAAGGCCCACTGATCAAGTTATAGAGGGATTTTTAAACTATTGGAAGAGTGTTTATGACTCAGTTGGACTGACTGATTTCCCCATAAGTACAGACAGTCTTCTGGATTCTGCATGAAGCCATTTTCAGATTCCATGTGGGTCTACCCTCCAACTCCACAGCACAAAATATATGAAAGGAGAGCTGTCCAACTTCTGAGCAACAGGGGTCACATGCTGCAAAGGCCCCCTGGCTCCTCACTGGCTGCACCAACCTGCCCTTAGGCGCAGAGGCCGGGATTGGAAGCTGGCAGAGAAAGCAGGAACCCAGAGATCCAGGCTGCAGCAAAAGGAAGAGGGACAGAGGAGGAAATGGTGCCAAGGGGATGATGCATGCAGGTGGCAAATTAACTACTTGCAGGCTGCATACAACCCACAGGCCACCACCAGGCCTGCATTACAGCATCATTATTTGTGGTTCTTGTTAAGAACAGCAAGCCATAAATACATCACATGTACCTTCCTCAGTTTAAGGAGTATTCAGTTCCATACCTTGCATATTCTTCCTTGGCTTTATCTTTAGCATGTTCTACCTCCTGCAGTTGCTGTTGGGTATCTTGACTTACTGTCTTCAGTTCAGCTACTTTCTCCTGCAGAGATATATTCTCCAGCCGGAGACTAGATATTTCTTCAGCCATAGATAACTTGTAACTAGAATGAAAACAGAATTGCAGTAAGCATGTTACATGAGTCACAGCCTGTATTTTACAGTGTTCAAATCTCTTGAGGAAATTAAAAATCCATCATGGGTTTATTTGCTACAGTTTTGATACAAGATGTTTTTGAGATACAAGAGACTGTTAGATCTAACAGACTGTTAGAGCTGTAGTAGGCAAGACAGGCAATTATCAGTCCTGTAGAAACAGAACCCTAAGGCTTGGTCCACAATTATTTCCGGCAGGAATTAGCAGAAGGTCAGGAATTAAATTAACAGTATCTTCTGTATTGAGCTATTACTGCTGTCAAGTTTTATTTCTTAATGTTGGCTAGAAGACCTTTTGGAAAAGAATCTTCCCACCCCCCATGCACACCAACATTGTATTTTTCCAATTCTCTTTAAGTGCTTCAGGTAAGGTTTAATCTTCGATGCCAGCATGCACAATGAAACAAGTCTAATTTATCACGTGTAATTGCATGCTGGACTAATGTGTTTAGTTGCTGCCTACAACTAATACATTGGCATAAGAGTTCTTATCCTACAACTTAAACCCACAAGCATGTTCTTGTCCTCGGTATCTTATAAAGTTTTAAGATGATGGTTTGACTGTATATTAAATCATCTTAAAATACTTTGCAACATAAGCAAGTTTCATCTTGCTACCAGTACTGTATTTACTCAAATATAAGACAAGGTTTTTTCTACCAATCAGCATGGGGAAAAAAAGCCCCCATCTTACATTTGCACAGAAGAAAACCTCCTTATAATACATTGTCTATCATTAAACTGCTGCCAGATGCAGTATGTGCTCAATAATGGAAGCCAACTATGAACTTTATCCTCTTGGTTACGGGCAACGACCACAGGAGGAAGAGATATACTGAAGAGGTAAACGGAAGACTGAGACATTGGGGGACACTGAAGTTTGCTGGGGGGAGGACAGGGAGACAACCATCAGAACAAGCACATAATCAGTAAGTTAGGAAACAACTAAACTTACCCCTACCCCAGCCCAAGGACAGGACTCTCCTAAGCACACAAAGAAGCCTAGGGTTTCCAATGGCAGGCTCAGCTGCCTGTACACTATTGCCAGGAGCATGGGGAACAAGCAGGAGGAACTGGCCCTCCTGCTAAGCAACAACAAATATGATCTCATAGCGATAATGGACTTGGTGGGACTCCACCTATGACTGCACCACAGGTACACATGGCTATACCTTGCACAGGAGGGATCATGCAGAAAGGAAGGGTGGAGGTGTAGCTGTCAAGGAGCAGTACACTTCCCTACTAGCTGACACAGGCACCCAAGGAAGGCAACTTGAAATCCTCTGTGTTAGAATACGGGGAGAATGTGGTGAATGGGATATTACTGTAAGAGTCTATTACAGACCTGCTAACCAGGAGGAAGAGCTCAACCATGAATTCTCTAGGGAACTAACAGAGGCTGCACACTCTCGGTGTATGGCTGTCATGGGTGATTTCAATTGCCCTGGCATCTCATGGGAGCAGCATTCTGATCAGTTGTGCAGCTTCCTCACCTGCATTGACAAGCTCTGACTCAAGAAGTCCACAGGCTTGGCCAATGATACTCAACACAAGGCAAGGCGCTGCTAGATCTGGCCAAAGGGGATGATCTAGTGAACGACCTGAGGACTGAAGGGAAGCTCGGTGACAGTGATCACAAATTGATCACCTTCCTTATCCATCACAAAAGCTGGCAATGTATAAATCCTTGACTGTAGGAAAGCTGACTTTCACAAGCTCAGGAGGTTAGTTATTGAGGCCCAGACAGACCATTATCTGCCAGGGAAGGGTGTCCAAGAAGAGTGGTTGCTCCTTATGGACACGATTCTAAAAGCACAAGGGAAGTCTATTCCGGCCCACAGGAAAAGTAGTAAAAAAGGGCTGGGAAATCCCTTTGCTAAATAGGGAATTTGTGGACCTCCTCAATTGTAAAAGAAAACCCTATAAGGGATGGAAGACAGGAAATACCTCTAAGGAAGATTATGCATCACTGGCCTGCACCTGTAGGGAGCGAACCAGAAAAGCTAAGGCTGGTACCAAGCTCAGACTGGCTACAGGAATCAAAGACAATAAAAAAGTCCTTCAGATACACAGGGCATCAAAAGAGAAATAAGGGCAACATTGGACTCCTGCTGAATCAAATGGGGCAGCTGACAACCGATACCCAGGATAAAGCTAATCTCTTCAGTGGTTATTTTGTGTTGGTTTTCCATCAGCCCAAGGGGGTCACCTTGCCTGACAGGACACAGAACTACAAGAGTATGGGTGACCACACACCTACATTTAGTGAAGACCTTGTGGGGGAACACCTTAGGAGGCTGAACATCCGTAAATCAGTGGGCCCTGATGGAATGCACCCAAGAGTGCTAAAAGAGCTGGCCAGCAACATAGCCTGATCATTGGCACAGATTTTTGAGAACTTGTGGCACTCAGGAGAGGTTCCTGAAGACTGGAAGAGGGCAAACATGGTGCCTATCTTCAAGGAAGGAAGGAAGAGCCAGGGAACTACAGGCCAAATCAGTTTGACCTCAATCCCTGGTAAGATCTTGGAAAAAATTATCAAAGAATCCATCAACAGCAGGCTGACAGAAGGCGCCGTTCTGAGATGGCCAACACGGCTTTGTTTCGGGTAGGTCATACTTGATCAGCCACATCTCCTTCTATGACCAGGTGACATGTCACCTAGATGCAGGGGCAGGGGAAGGGGTAAAGAGTTTGATGTCATTTACTTGGATTTCACTGATGCCTTTGACTTGGTCTCCCATGATGTCCTCAAGGCAAAACTGAGAAATTGCAGCCTTGACAACCTTATGGTCCAATGGCTCAGGAACTGACTTCATGGTCAGACCCAGAGAGTGATTTTTGATGGAACTGAGTCAGCATACCATATGGTAACCAGTGACATCCCTCAGGATTCAGTACTCAGACCAGTACTCTTTACTGCATCCAACTCTCGAAGCTCAAGAGTTTAGAGGAGAGCTACGTGCATAATAAGAGGTCAAGAGAGCAGGCCATATGAGGAGAGGTTGAGAGGCACGGGTGGACATCAGAACCTTGGAGAGCATCTGTGCACCAGGGCTCCCCTACAGCAAACAAGGTCCAATGGTCACAAACTGCTGGAAGACTGTTTTAGACTGGACATAAGGAAGAACTTACTGTCCAAGTCTTCACCAGAAGTGGTGCAAGCACCTACTCTGGACATATTCAAGATGTGTTTGGATGATTAACTTGCTGGGGTCCTCTGAACCCAGCTGACTTCCTGCCCTTGGGCAGGTTGCTGGACCAGATGATCTCATGAGGTCCCTTCCAGCTCTAATGTCTATGAAATCTATGAATGTAGCCCACACTGAGCATACTTGTAAAACACATGCCCCATTCTGGGCAAACATACTGATGGGAACCTACCGCGAGGATAGGTTAAGTGCAGTCCATCTGAGTAAGATATTGTATCCATTGTGCTCAGTCCCCTCAACACTGATTTTTTCAAATGTTAGTAAACCACTACAATGAATACTTTTCAACTTCCTCTTCACTCCCACAGCCAAGCAGCACATTTCAATCTCACTTCCAATGATTGCCTTAAATGTCTGGCAAACATCACCAAACATATCTAGATAAGAGGCTCTGTTGCCCCGTCTGTTGGCCTATGGCATGTTTATGGATTATTACAGACCTGCGATCGTGAAGTGGAGCCAGACCAGGTGGTCCCACACCTCATCTGCATATACATTTTTGGAAGATTCCCAGGATGTGTGACAAGAGCACCCAATTCCAGGCATGGGCTGCAGCAGGAAGAAGTTGGGAGAAGAGGCAAAGGGGTAGGCGGAGTGGAGCAGAGGGCAAGAATGGGCCATCTGAGTCCACAGATTGAATTTTCTGTGCTGTAGTAATGGGAGGGGGCAAATTCAAGGCAACCTTCAATACATAGTTTCTATGCCTGGAAAAATCGTAACACATTTATAAGTTTTCCATAGAGAATGTAATTACTGGGAGGGTTTGTCCTATTTCTGAGTAAATACAGTATTTGCATCTTGAGGTGAAACCAATAGTTTCCCCAATAAGCCACATCAGAACATTCTTCATGAGCATCATCACAATGGAGTAACATGATACATGCCACTAACAGTTTGTTAACTTCTAAATAAGGCATGATTTGAATAAGAGAGCAACATATTTTGTTTCAAACTACACAGGAAACATGAGACTTTCAAGTACCTTTCAAATTCAGCAATGTTCTCCCCAAGTTTACGAAGTGTGTTGCTGTGCTCTTCTTGCAACTGGCTCATGGCACTGTTATGCAGGTCACTGATTCTCTGAAGCTCAACATTCTTCCTGAAAAGAGAATTTAACATTCTGTCCCAGAGTCTAAGTTGTACTGGCTATAGGAAAAGGCTTCCTCTTTCAGCTCTCTCGTATACCTCATCCAAACCAAGTTTTATCTACCTGTATATATTGGCACCAAATTTCATGAGTGCAAGCAACATGAAACTTTCTAGCAGTTTTGATTTAAGTTTCCTTAGCTACTGTTTTAAACTTCTTGTCTGTAGGATGTGATTCTTTTTACACTGAAGTAGAGTGTTTGTGGTAAAAAAAACCCTTGCTGACAAGTCTTAGCTATGATCATGAGTCAACTTGGCTTAAACTCATTCCAGACTTTTCCCCACCACAAAACTCTGCATACAAAAACAGATTTTTAGAGCTAAATCTAGCTCATTAGACTTGTTAAGATGTGTATGTTTGTGTACAGAAACCTTAGATTTGGTTCTCTGCCATTATTTTTCTTCCCCCAAAATTAGTTGGGTCTGACAGTTTAATTTATACCTATTCAATTTCCAGTTTAGAAACCAAGTGGCAAAAAGTAAAACTAATTCATGGCTTAACATTTTCCCTGTAAATAAATAGTTTGATTTAGTAAGCATCGTGGTATCCCTCCTATATATTAGGAAAGTAAGATTTTAGTGATCTACTTAGATCTTGTTTACCTGTTGCTTCATCAGGTTGAGTGTTTGACCACGTTTATACACTCACTTTCCAATAGCTTAGTTTAGTATTTCTATTTCTCTGATTAAAAGCAGTAAAAAGTTACTATTTTCACAGACCCTTTGAGTTTTGCTTTTATCTGTGCTAGCTCTTCAGCTCTGGATTTGCTCTCTTGTTCCAGGTGTTTCACCATCTTTTCAGCCTTTTCATCCTTAGCATGCAGTTTATCCAGCTCATTCACTGCTTCTTCTAATTCTTTTTCTAGGAGTCGTCGCTCATTTGTTGCCTCCTCTTGAAACTTGAGCAGCTTCTGGTGCATAGAAGCAGAACACTCCTGCAGGAAGAGTGCATAATTGTAGGATCTACCAGTTTCTTACTAAGCAAAATGTATCCATCCACATTATCTTTCATGCAAAGATAAGCTTTTATCCTAAACATAGACAAACTGACATAGCTAACTACTCTGCTATAATTATGATACTGTAACACCTCCAGAGAGGTGCAACACCTCCAGTGTTTCCAGAATAAGTATGATTTCCTTCCAAGTTAGCTATGCCACTATAGATATGCTGGCTAGTTTTCCATACATAGACAAACTCTGAATTGCCAGTATATTTGGTCCTATGTTTTAAGTTTAACTACCAGAGAAATTCAGTGCTTTCCAATTACATGAGATCAGGTCCTTATGTGGTCTACCTTCTCTTGTTGCAGCAGAGAACAAGTGTCCTCCTGTTTCTGTTGCAGCTTTTGGTGTTCTTGCTCCGCTAGATTCAGTTTCTCTTTCAAGCTTTCTATTTCAGCATTCATACTTTGCTCTCTCTCTTGGTTCTCAGTGAAGAGTTCCTCTACAGAAAATAAGTTATCAATATATCAGCCTTAGAGAAATAAAGATTTGTGCCCTATATGCCTCTGTTAGTGCAGTCTTGAGGTTCTGGAAGGACCCTGTAGCCAGGTACTAGTTTCCCACACTGTCCTGCTTCTTGTTTCAAGCAGACTTAGTCTCGCACAGGATGATTCATCATTCCCACAAGCCTCAGATCAACCTGCTCTTACATCAGATTCCACAGCTGGAACAGGGGAATCTTTCCATGTCCAAGAGGACTCCCCTTGGGGTCATTCCAATGTCTGGGTACCGTCTACAAAAGAGGAACATCGGGAATATCCCTTGTTTCAAGATTATACTTTCCCATTGGCAAGCCATAATACAACAAAACAGCAAAAGGATTTATTATAGAGAAGAAAAAAATTGCCATTTCCACACCCCGCCCCAGAATGAAAAAAACAATGATGAAAACAACCTTAATCATTTTTTTTTCATTCTGCCTCCAAACTAAGTGGTAACATGTCCCACCTTCTTTCCAGACTACTGCAGTCCTTTAAAGCAGTGGTTCTCAACCTTTTTTTTCCCCACAACCAACTGCAGGGAGAAGAGTGCAGCAGCCCAGGGACAGGAGAGCTCCCAGCATGGGTCGTCTTTTGTATGCGGCACCACTGGCATTGCCCCCGCAACCCTGATCTGGGTCACAACCCATGGTTGGGAACCGTTGCTTTAGTCTTCTCAGCATTTCTAAAGATCAGCTTCCCTACTGACTCTACCAGCTTTAAGCCAGGGGCCTGGACTCCCCTCACAAGGCAGAAGAAAATCCAAAGACATCCCTTGTCTAATAGCATCCTCATACCTAAGAGATTCCTCCTAAAGACCTCCAAGCCACCCTTCTTCCAATATTTTGGTTGCTCAACCCAACAATAGACTTTTACATGCCTTGTCTGGGAGGGGCTATTGCTCTTGTTCTTATTCAAACGATTGGCCAATGATACTTAATAGCATCCCTTGTTCATTAGGCATGCGTGCCACAGATCTTTTGACATGTAAATAAGTAACTGTCAGCAGTGGTAGCAATTCCTCAAACATTTTTCTAATAATTAGAGAAGGCACTCAGGAAACTGTAGATGACTGAGGAAACTGAGCTGAGATCCACCTGTTTGGCTGCAGAAGTGACAAACAGCACCAGGATCTCCTCTTTCATCCTGGAATTGTCAGATCACAGCTCTTTCCCTTTGTCTCATTTATGCTTCTACAGTGAGTTCTCTCAAAATGATCAATACTTTGTCTTACTTTACAGCACCACTGAGGGGGATTCAGTGCTTGAGTCTCCCAGGTACTGATGTTAATATAGTATTTCTTCAGATTATGCCTTCAAGGTGTCCCTGAATCTCCTCTCTTGCCCATCTCTATAGCAGTGAGCTGGCTATAACTTCTTGATTAAGCTATGATACAGTTGCAACAATAGATATGCATGGCATAGCATAACCCATACAATGGTATGAATTTTACAAGTGAATACAGCTTTTTTAAAATCTAATGATAAAAGACCAAGCACAAAGTTAGTTAAATCAAAATGGGACCAAACATCTCAGCAGGAAAGAGCCCCCAAATCATTTCTGCATTTGAAGGGAGTTTGTGACACTCCCCCTTCATAGTAGATTTAAAACTACTTCCCCCTACCTGGGCTAAATGAGCCTTTTCTCATCTGAAAATTCCTTTACCCTAAGTTTGAGAAGACAATATTTATCATTAATGATAAGGAACAAGGAAGCTTAAAGATACCATGAAAATCTGCCTCAGAAGATACTGTGATATATGGGAATGAGGAATTATGAAAATGCTGTACTGTGTTGTTGCTTAGAGAACGAGTCTCAACCCAGCAGCTACCAGATCAGAATTCTGGTAGACTGGGAACACTTAATTTGTGTGGAATAAAGAGCAACTCCACAACTACCCATCCTTCCTCTAGCAATCTTTCCTTGCATTTTACCTCCTGCCAAGGGAATATATTGGTTCTTGATAAAGAATGAATAATCATTGGAATCGGGCTTTATGTTCAGACTTGAACGTAAAGAATATTTTTTTTAAAAAAGGAGCATTAGAAGCTCACCAGATAAGCTCTAGTTAATTTTGATGTGCAAGAAACTGATGCCCCAGCTCACAACACATCAAACTAAAATACCTTTTTCTTGTTCAAGCAGCTGGCATCTTGCACCTACTTCTTTACTGAGTTTAGACAACTCCTCCTTTAGGATTACAGTTTCCTGGTCCTTCTGCAGTAGCATCTTCTCCATATGGACAACGTCTAGTTTGTACTTCTCTGCCTCTTCTGCAATAATGCTGTAGGAGAAAATCCAGATGTTTATCACTAATGCATTTCAAATAAATGTTGTTTATGTACTGGCACAATATGCAACAGGATGGATTAATTTAAATCAGAACTAGCAGTTGAACTAGAATTTAGATTAAAAACTCTGTCAGTTGATTTCAATCAATTTTAATCTTGTTTTTATATTTGCATTTTGGTTATTTTCCTCAGGACATATTTTTAATTTGGTAACTATTAAGACATGCTGACTTATGATTACATATATCAGCTATAATGTAGTAGTATACCATGTTAAAACACATTACTATTATACACATTTATTTAAAGCAGTTATATAGTTGAATACTTATTCAGAACCTTATTTTACATTTGCATTATGTTAAAAATGGCAGCCAATTAATTTCTTAGTTCTATAGAATTCACTTGTGATTTGTGCCAAAACATTTGGAAGGAACTGAAATTCAGTTAATTTTAATTCACATCTTTAAGTTTTCAGTTGCCTTAAATGTACTCAGTAAGAAAGATATCCAGAAAATTTAAATCAAGCTGCAGTTAAGGCTCCTTATGATTTCAATTAATTGTTTCTATACTTCAAGACTTGTTTTAGAACCAACAGGTCTCATCTGCTCTCTGCATTGTTATTCAGAGACTGAAAAGAAAAACAGGTCTTTATTTTTTCAGCCATGACTAACCTAGTGGAAGCAAAATATTCTCTTTTCACTCTGTATGCAAAATAGGCAACTGCAGGAGTTGATTCGCTTGAAACAAATTTAGATGAATTATTTGGTTACTGATTTTTGCTACCTGTTTCTTGACCTAGCGACAAACATGCACATTTTAAATAGCTAAGCCATAATATAGGTTGTCATAAAGAAACAAAATTATTTTAAATGAAACCAAACTGATTTGTATCCATCTTGTTTTGTATTATGATGCTACACCTGTTAAGTCCAACTAACTAAGCTATAGAGTTGATACCTCCCTTGTTCCCCACCCCAGGGAAGAAGAATCACAGGTTTTACAGCATTCCCCTACACCAAGTTGTGTAGCAGCACTGAGTTATACCCTCCTCCAATAAGACTAGATCCATCTCAGATTTACATAGATCCAAGTTGACTTAATGCCTGGACAAACGCATGAAAGCACAAAGCTCTGTTCTACTATCTCTCTGGCTTCCTAGTAATGCACCTTTGTTGCTTCCAAAACTCATACCGTTACCCCTTGAATAAGGGTCATGAAAATTAGATGGTTTCCCAGCAGATCAAGTTTCCTTGACCTAGACACCAAACTCTTTCTAGCATAAGGAGGAAACTGAATAATTTCTGCATAAGTAATACTGAAGAGAAGAAACCTTGCTTAAGTCAAAATATTTCAACATGTTTAAAGTTCACAAAACTAAAGAAAAGGACTAAACTTTTCATACAATTATCTGATGATCCTTTCTTATGGAAGGGAAACATATGCTTATTTTTTGCGCAAGTTAACCCATTTACAAATACCATTAAACATTTAGTCTCAAGTCTTTAAATAAAGCTTAAATTTTGTTGATATTTTACTTGTCCAGCCAGACTCTAAGCCACGTAGGTTTGTTACCTGAGTTCTTTAATATATTCCAAGAGTTTCTCAGTATCAGACTCTTCTTCTATCTTCTCTTTCTCAGAGGCAGACCTGAAATAAATGTAGATAGTGTACATGTATGACAGCTGTCAAATATTTAGGAGCAGCTCAAAGCTCAAGACAACTTATGACTAGAGCATTCTCTACCTATGCATTTCTAATATTATGGTAGCCAAAAGATCTCAAACCAGACTACATCTACAAGGACACCAAAACTGGCACGCATTCAGAATGCGTTGGGAGTGACAGAATTTCTTTTCTCAAAGTCAGGCAATACTCAGAATGCCTGTGTACACTCCCCATTTTACTGGAATGGTGGCATATGGTACAATCAAACAATTCATGCAAAGTTGCACAAGAAGCCAATAGCTCAGCCACATATTGAACTTAGGGTTGGAAGGGACATCAGGAGGTCATCTAGTCCAAACTCCTGCTCAAAGCAGGACCATCCCCAAATAGATCATCCTAGCCGAAGCTTCGTCTAGCTAGGTCTTAAAAGCCCCCAAGGATGGAGATTGTATTACCTCTCTGAATAACCTGTTCCAGTGTTTACTACCTTCCTAGTAAGACATTCTTCCTAATATCAAACCTAAACTTTCCTTGCTGCAACTTGAAATCTCTAGTTTGGGTCCAGTGCCTAACAAAATTAAGCCATCACTCCTATGTAACCACACATGCTAAGCTTGCTTTAACTCCTGCTGTTAGACAAAGGGCTACCTACTATATATATAAAATTACTAGCACGATACCTCTCTCTGTGAACTAAAGGTACTCTCTATATGTGAGAGAGAGAGTGAGCAAGTGAGCCTTTAGTTGACAGAGAAAGGTATTGTGCTAGTAAAGGAAAGGATGCTTTATTTGATATGAGCTGGAAGACACAGTATATACATAGGATATATGACATTTTGTCCTTTAACAAAAAAAATCAAGATGAAAGGGACAGCAACTGTCATTTACCAACATGTAAAAATATACCTACTACTAAAATTAGGCCCACCCTGAATTGGTAGGGGTGCGCAGACAGAGATTTTCGTAGCCAATCCCGATAGCTGATTTTTAAGGAGGCATATTGGCTGGTACCAATATGATTTCCAATACGGAGCCTGGCAGCTGGTAAGACTGGTGGAAGGGGAGGGGAAGGGAGGGTGTGGGACTGGGGCAAGTGCTGCCCAGCCAGGGCAGGTGCAGCACGGAGCCACAGCTCATTCAGCACTCATCCGGCAGCTCTCAGCACTTGTCTGAGAGGGCGGGGTGCATGTGCCCCTGGATCTGCGCAGGGCAGGCTGGTGCTGAGCCAAGCTCTCTTCCCAGTGGGGCGGGGCTGCACTGGGAAGG